GATATTGGGCTTAAAATTATAGACAACTATCATGTTGGTTATTCTATTAAGTATTTCTTTGATTTTGTTTAAATTTATTTAGTTTATTAAAATTATAGTATCTGTTGTCTTGTCTACATATAGGGACCTCTATAGCAAAAGGTTGCAATAGGCCAAAAATTTTTATTTTGTAATTTTGTAAAAATTATATGCTAATTACTCTAATTCTTCAAGAAATTGCATTTTTAAGAAAAAAATTTTTTTGGCCGATTGCCACCTTTTGCTGTGGAGGTTCCCATATATAGTTTTGTTGAAATAATAGTTTCTCTAGCAAATATCACTAAAATTAATTTAATAAATTTAAAAAAAAGAATCTATGTTTTTTTTTATTTGCATCATTGTATAGTTTGGATTTGGCATTTTTCTTCTTAACCAAATCTTTGAGTTTATCTTCAAACATACCTTTCCTATCTTTTATAGTTGTATTTGTTGGTAATATGGCTTTAAGGGCAAGATTTCTTTGTAAATTATTTGTATATAATAGAGCATCTTATAATAGTTTTCTAGCATTTTTGTTAAATTTTTGTAAAAGATTATATTCCATTCTTGCTTTAGGATCATTATTATTAGGTTTTGATTCTAATAATGCCTTTTCAATATTGTTGATAGGATATAGAACTGCAGATATCTAGTAAGAGATATTTCTAATAATTTTATCAAACTCTTTTTGTTGTCTTGACATAGCTTGTAAAAAATATTGTTTCATTTGTAGTAGTCTATAATCAACTTCTGTATTATGTAGTTCTCTACACAATATTTTTTGATAATTTGTCTTTAAAAGTATATAGTCTAAATAAATTTCAGTAGGTAAGTTCTTGAGATCTTTCGTGAGAAACCATGGTTTTGGTTCATCAGAGTTAAAGATTTTGTCCAAATCTTGTTCCTCTGTTTGAGCATTGTTTTTTGAATCATTACTTATTAATAAAAGTAAGAATGTAGATTAAATTATTGATAATTTCCAAGAGGGTGTCTTATTAAGAGCAGACTGTGCCAAAATAAAATGGCCTAGGTAGTAATTGCTTGTATCGTAGAGGTATATAAAATGATTAAGTAATTAGACTATTATGTAATATTGAATAGACTAGAATTTTCTTTGTAATATAATTTGAAGCACCAATAATAAAATAGGCCAAAAGTATGTAATCTTATTATACATTTATTTAAAAATTTTAGATAATTTGAGTTGATACATGAAATTTTAGATTTTTTGTAAAAATTTTATATATAAAATTTTACGAGTTTCTGGTTGAGTATTAAGACAAGATTAGAAAGAACACTGCAAAATCTTGCAAGAAATTTTTTTGTTAGGACTTTTATGTAGTAATAGTTTCAAGTTACACAATCATGGATAAATAATATTACAAATCAAGTAAATTCTAAAATTAATATCTGGAGGTATACATTTAATTTAAATCATATTTAGAAAAGCCCTAAGAATATCTTTAATAGTCGATCTATCTGATCTAATTCTATTTGGTCCTATTCGGTTCTGAACTGCGATCCAATTTGATTTTTTAAAAAATCACCAGTCTTTAGACCAGGACAAACCAGATGAATAATTAATAGCTCTAGAGTAGTATCATCTCTAGCAAAAGCAATAATAATTAAAAATAGAATTTTCTTTAAATATTTAATTTATAAAAAATAGGTTACAGGCTTTGCTGATATAAAGTTTTATTTGTATATTGTTATCTGTGAAAATTGACTAATTAAATAAATACTCTTCTATGAACACATCAATAAGTAACTGCTCTTTTTATCTCTCAAATGTTTATAGTATAACCAAAGACCAGGGCAAAAATAAAAATAATAGAGATAATTATTGCATTTTTTAAACAATTATGCGGATCGTGGTTTGTGAAATTATGCAAATCAAAAAAAAAAAGAGACCGGTGATTCTTAAATTTTCTTGCAAAAATAAAAGTTTTAAAGTAAAGTGGATATTATGTATATAAAATTGTCAAATAACAGTAATTTGGCAAATAAGCATATGCCGCTTTGTGGCATGTGTAGCCAATCATTTGTCAAATTACCTTATTTTATGGGTCTTATATAACAACCTGTGCTTTTTCATCTTGGTTATTGCACAGGATTGTACGTCAGACACCATGAAATAATAAAGTTATTGTATAGGTATATGAATAACCGGTGACCTTCGGCTATAGTTATTCACTACATACCCATATAATAATAATCATATATTCGACAATTTGCCCAATATTGGTGTTATCTGGCAATTTATGATTATAATTGGTAGAGAGTCACTCACTAAGTTTTAATTTTGAATATTAGAATAAACATAATTACATCGTAACAAATGAAAAAAATAAAAAGAAATTTTTTTATAATCATAAAAATTTGCCAAATAAAACATAATTAAAAGTTATTTATATAAGATTGAAGAACAAGGTGATAAAAGAAAGAGGTTGGAACACTTTTTTAAAATTGTTAACAAAAGTGATAAAACAACTAAATTGGTGAGAAAATTATCTACAGAAATAAAATAGTTAGTCTCTAGTACCTGACATTTTATTAGTTACAATATTTATAGATACATTATAACTCAGATAGAATATCTGCAGAAAAAACAAAAAACATGTTCTAATTTATATTTATAACTTTAAAAACTTAATAAAAAAGTTAGTCTTGATCAAAATAGACAACTTAACTTGTATAGCCTATCTTAATTATTAAGAAGAAGTGGTCTTACTAGAAATCAATGCAATGCCAAAAATTAATATAAGAAATATGTTTTCAAAAAAAAAAATCAAACTAAAAGCTCAATATTTATTAGAAACAAACAATATGATGGTGAATTATATATTATATCTGAGATTCAACAAACATAATTAGATAATGAATTTTAAAACCTTTACATAATTCATAGGTTATGAGGCTTATTCAAAGTAAATCTTTTTGCTAATAGATTAAATACTTAATTACAAATATACTATTTATAGCATCCTAATTTAATATTAATAGCAATAAATAATTTTATACAATTTTGAACAAAAACAACAAATTATACAAATCTTCCATAAATATTGATCCCAGAATTTTAACCAAAATCAGAAAAAAATAAACAACTATATGCCTAATTATACCTCTATAAATATTAGCAAGTTGGTTCTCTTTACTAATAGATATATTAATAAACTTATAGTCTAATTTCAATATAATTACTAGCTTGGGAAACAAGAATCTGGTGATTACAAAAAGTTGTGACTATATAAAGGTCAAATTTTGTATGTTTTATATTAATTTGATTTAAAAGATAGTGTGATTATATCAAGGTTGTGACTATACCAAGAGTGACTATAACGAGGTTAGACTATATTTCTTTTTAAAAATATCATTCTTTTAAAAAGTTCTGGAGAAATTCTTGTTCTTTTTGATGTCATTAAGTTGCCAGCATCACTGAATAAACGTCACTTGGGGTAAATGGTTAGATGAATTCTTACCAATTTAGATAGTTTTGAAAATTTCTTTGAATATAATAACTTCTTCAGAAGATTCATTAATTTCATTAGAGTCAGAAATGTTAAAGTTGGAAATTTTAGAATCAGATATGTTCGTCTTTTGTTAGAAGTATACGAAGTATTGATAATAAAATAAAAATAAAAAGCAATAATAATAATTTATTATTTATATATAATCATTAAAAAATAATAATAATCTTATATACCAAAACGGATAGCCGGATATCTGACAAATAATTCGAGTCTATCTGAGTGTAATTATTTTTCAGATAGTTTATTTATAAATCCACATAGGATTCTAAAATTATGTGGATAGCTAGGATTTTAAAGCTACGAATCGCTACTCTATGTCAGAGATACATATCTGCAACAATAAATTCAATCCTTATTAATACCTAAAGCCTTTTCTTTTTCGATACAGTCAGACCTCCCTAAATGCATATTCCTTAAATGCATAGTCTCTCTAAATGCATGGCTTTGTTTGGCCCCAACTCATATGACACTTATAGATTTTTACCTCCCTAAATGCAATACCTCTCTAAATGCAATATTTTTTGGCTGCCCGAGACTATGCACTTAGAGAGGTCTGACTGTATTTGCTAATTTCTGGGCACGAAGCTTAGCTATTTTTGTTTTTTTTTCAATATCTAATATTTCTTTTTGGTGCTTAAATTCATAGTTAATTAGTTCAAGTTTTCGTAACTTTTCTCGCTTGGCAATTTCAGTATCTAAATTATTTAATTCTTCATTGTTTGCTGTAGCCATATTAGAATTTGAAGTTCTTTTGTTTGTAAGTAGATTTTTTTTACATTTTGAAGTTTCTAATATATATATATATATTTATAATAGTTATATATTAATAAATTAATTAATATTTATATATATAGTATATAATTTTTACCAAATTTTTTAATTGACTTAGTAGCTTTAGCTATAGGTCCTGATGGATGACCAATTTTTGGGATATTGTATTGATCTTGATATTCGCCCGATTTCATATAGAGTTAGGGTTAGCATTTTATTAGTTGTAGGTATTTATTTTTAGCTAGCTGTCACCCTGTGTGATATCTAGTTAGGAAAAATAACTTTTGGAAATCATGCTATTTATCTTTTAATTAATTATCTGTTAGATATTAGATACCTGATAGACAAATAGATAAATAATTTACAGATAGAATCTTTATTTTTAGTTACAGTCAGACCTCTCTAAGTGCACTTTTATAAGTGCATACTCTTTTTAAATACATGCTCAAGTGCCAGCCCAAATATATATTTGACTTTCATAAATGCACTTTTCTTATTATCCTCTATATGCACATTATTAAAGTGTAGTCCCAATGGCATACACTTGGAGAGGTCTGACTGTATATAAAATAAAATACAAACTTTCTAATTGCAAGCAATAAACTCATTTGAGTTCCTTCTCGATTAGTATTAGCATGTGCTGACTCAGCAGCATTTGTATTTTTCTCCTGCACTACACTAATCTTCTTCAGCAATATTTGAATAATTATAATTTAAAGATGCTAATCTCCATAGCTTTATATAATAATTTCCCCATTCTATATTTTTTAAAAAACTCAAGTAACTATAATTTGCATTATGATATTTATTTATTAAAATATATAATAAAACTTATACCTAATACTCCATCTTCATCTGATGTAACGAATTCTTGAAATATATCAACTACACGATCCTTATTAGCTACCAATATTTCTATAAAAAAAAAGAAATTACATAATTATATTATTAGTAATATAGTTGACCTCTCTAAGTGCACTCTCTGTAAGTGCACATCTTCTTTAAATGCATGCTCAAGTGCTGGCCCAAAAATATTCTTGAACTCTATAAATGCACTTTTTATTATTATTCTCTATATGCATATTATTAAGTATGGTCTCAAGGGCGTGTATTTAGAGAGGTTTGACTATAATATCTAAAATTTTTAAATTTTTAAATATACTTTCCTTTTATAGTGAACACGACAAGATTTAAAATATATTTTAAATAAGTTTTCTAATCTTTAGTTGGATCTAAATCTACTAGCATTAGAGCAAGACCTTTCGCTTGTGCAATGTCTAGGTTACCAATAATAACATGCTAATCATTATTATAGATATTTTTAATTTGAACTTTTTGCTTGCAACGCTTATTAACAGTTTCAATTACAGCTTTGAATATACGCCGATAAGAAGTTGCAGTTGAAATATTTGTAAAAATTCATGTATATGTAAGTACTAAAAATATAAAAATTAGTAATTTAATATATAAATAATTAAATATATTAAGCGTGAATAATATTTTATTTACTTAGAAAGTTTTATTTGTAATTATAGAAAAGCTCATAATATACAAGTAGGAAAAATTACTTCTATATCTCTATTACATACAAATACTTATTATTAAATTTGTTATAGGTACAAATTTCACTTCAAGCAGCTTCTGTATATAATAAATATAAAAGAAAACTGGCCAAAGCCAAAAAAATGAGTCATTCTTTGACGACAGCAGCTACTAACAAGAATACATGTGCATAAAAAAAAGAAAAAAAGACCGTTAAAATAATGCAAAATGTTAGCAAGAAAAAATTTTATATTTTTGTATTTTAGAGCAAATTATATTCCTATCTGTACAATACAAAAATTTTGTTTTTTTTGAAACTTATATTAAAAGTTAAATATAATTATTATTGTTAATATTTGAAATCCGGATACCGCTATTGGGTTTGAAATTCGGAGATTGACGTAACCTGTCCCAGAGTTTCTATTTGCAAAATAAGCGATTTTTTTTATGACAGAAAAAAAATACATCTATTTCGTTTTCTGATCTCGGAATCTCAAAACAGAAATGAGAATTTTTTAAATTCTCATTTATTTTAGAAATAAGTTAATTCTGACTCACCCTAATAGTAAAAACTGCTGGACGATAACAACGTTACAATACGAGAGCAAAAATTGATACCTGATACGACAATAACGAACGTGCATTAGTAATTGAATCAAGTATCTATTGAATGCATTTATGCCATAATAGTGGTCCACAGCTACAGGTACGCTATTCGTATCGATTTTTTTACCCTCATACGTACGTATGTACGATAACTGATAACTGATACGTACTGTACGTACAAAATTTAAAATTATTACAAATTCAATGCTGTGATTTGATTGGTAAATTTTTAAACTAGAATACGGATCAAACTAGAATTGCCAGACTAATCTTTTTAGGTACGCTAGTAAGATCAACGAACATATGAGGTATTATTTGCGCAATGGTTATTCAGTAGCAGCAAATGATGACGATGTAGATATATATATACGACCTATTTATTAAATAGTGGTTGATTATTAAATATCTCCATGTCTCTTTCACGTTACTTAAACGAAAAGCGATTCTATATTAGTGGTTTATTGACCTCAATTTTATATTTGTGTTCACGAATTTTATGTTACTGTGTTCATTATTATAAACGATATTCTTTGTTATTATAAGCATCACGTACAGTAAGTACATTATCAGGCGCACGATTTGTCACATCCAAAATTTTATTATATGATTTTCATAAATTACACAAATCGACGAATTTGCATTTTTTAAAATTTCACCGGATACTTTAGTTTTAACATA